GGGCAAGCTACAGGAATAAAGACGCCATGGTGATTGAGAGAACAACGGCCCCTCAAGGATGTGCTGGTCCTAAGTCCCAGAGCAGAAACTATGCCATGCAGCTTGCTGAATTGGGGTCTTACAGCAGTGATTCTGCTAAGGGCCTTGAGCCAGGGACCCCATCCTTACCTATGTAGAGGCAGGCAGGAGGGCTGGAGTCAGTGTGAGCAAAGGCTACACCCGTGAGCTGAGAGGCCAGGGAAGAACGGGGCGAGACTGGAAGTCTGCAGTGGAATTGGACAAAGGGAACAGGGTCAGGGCAAAGAAATTTGGGCAAGAGGCAAGAAGCCAGATTCTCCTCCTCCAGCCTCCAGAAAAAGCCTGGCCAAATTCTACTTCAGCTCCTGGAAATGTTACATTTCCGCTCCCCCCCACCCCCGAGTTGTACCACAATGAGGCTGTTCTGCTTTAAACCACCATGTTTTGGGACATTTATTAGAACAGTAACAGGATACTGACTAATAGTACTTGCAAAACCTTCAACAGACTATCTGGCTGTATGCAGAAATAGTCCCTTCTTTATGCTCATGCAAAGAGACCCTTTTTCTTTTCATTATGTTTTTGAGTCACACCTATCTGTTCTCAGGGCTTATTCCCAGTTATGCGTTCAGGGATCACTCCTGAAGTTACTTGGAAACATATGCAGTTCCAGGGATGGACCGGGGATTGACTGCCCCCAAGACTCCAATACTATCACTCAGGATGAAAAGAGACCACATTTTAGCAGTCCACCCTAGAATAATTTCACCCTAAAGTCAAAATTTTCTAGCATCAACAGCTGAATTGGACAAAGGGAAAAGGGTCAGGGCTAGGAAATTTGGGCAAGAGGCAAGAAACCAGATATTTTATTCTACAAAACCACACTAGCACCAAAAATTTTTGATGCAGTATGTTCAGAAATGCTGAATCGTTATAATGAACTATAGTGGGCTAATGATGTACGTGGCATACCCAGCCATGGAAAGAGAAAGACCATTTAGGTATTCCCTTCAAGTTTCAAAGAATATAAACAATTTTGTATCCCAGCAGAGCCAGAACCCTCCTGACTCACCATTCCTCATGTGGCAGGGCTGGCCCTACATGCACAGGGCCAGGATGCAAACACCATCACATTCATTGAATGGCATCTGACTAAGGCAGACCACGGAAACATCGCTGGAATAACATCTCTTGACCACAAGGACAGCATGAAAATCAAAGAGGGTACCCTTATCCCTCTGGAAAGGCAAACCCAGCCTTCACTCTTACAGAGGCAGCATTTACGGCTTCTGGCTGGGCAGCTGGGCCAGGGAGGGCTTGGTTAGCCCGAAATTCAGCTAGTCCTGAGAGTCTATTACGGACTCCGGGAAAACATGCTACTCGCTCGAGTGTGATAAAGAACCTTGCACTGCACAACCACGGAGCTGCAGAAATGACCCTGGCTTTCATAGCAAGAAGTGAAACTTTGGCGGTAGAGAGTGGGCACTGGTGGAGGGATGGGTACTCAATCACTGTATGACTGAAACGTAAGCACGAAAGTTTTTAAGTCTGTAACTGTACCTCATGGTGATTCATTTAAAAAATAAAAAAAAAGAAACTTTAGACCAAAGGCAGAATCCCCAGACAGTACATTTAGGCCCCGAGGTCTTCTGGACATTGACGCAATGGCTTCTGACCCACCTCATCACTCATCATGACTTTTACTGTTCATACATTTTTTTCAGGGTATAATAATATCTGGAAAAAAAGTTCTTTATTTTCTCCCTTCCAAACCCACACAGAACAAGTAGCCACTTTATCCAAGCATGGTTTTTGACCTCTGGAAAGCTCATTTGCATCTCGAAAATGTGTCACAAAACTGGAAGAAGGGGCTAGGGTGATAGCACAGCGGATAGGGCATTTGCCTTGCATGCGGCTGACCTGGGTTCGATCCCCAGCATCCCATATGGTTCCCTGAGCACCGCTAGGAGTAATTCCTGAGTGCAGAGCCAGGAATAACCCCCGAGCACGGCCGGGTGTGACCCAAAAAGAAAAAAAAAACGGAAGAAATGGAAACACTAAACTGAGCAATTTTAAGGATGATGCCAGATGCCCAAGCCTTCCCCACCAGCATTGGTCATTGGGGTTATAGCAGAGGAACTTTCTGAGCTCCCCGGAAGTTTGCCTCCTTTGCCAAGAATTAAGGACAAAAGGGGCCAAGATGAATTTATTGGAGATGGCATCACCCACTCTTGGGACTGTCTCTGGGCTCTCTGGCAGTTTCCTGAGTGCAGCAAGAAAGGGATGGGGTGGGTTTGGATCCAAACAGGCATATTGTTATGCAGCCGCTCAGCTATGAAAGAAGGTCCTCGAGGGCCAGCACTGCTTCTCACGGTGGCTGTACTGAGAGTAGGGCTGGAAATGAGACCCCTGGGGCTCCCCTTGCTCTGGTTTGGGGTCTATTCTCAGGGACTCCTCTCCCACATGAAGGACACGCAAACCTCCACTGACTGATCTTTTCTTCCTGAAACCTGTCCATCTATTATTGTCTCCGTTAACTAAGAGGAATTTTCATTCCATTTAGTGACATGCCAATGCAAAGTGTGCAGGCAACCATTCTAATTCTAATAATATGTATGCTTTGCCCTGAGAAAGAAAAGGACTATATTTTAGGCATTAGACCTTGGCAGCAGACTCCCAACTTGGGCGGCAAATACATCTGCAGTGTCAAATCATTTTACAAAGCATCAAGAGAAAGCCTTGATTTTTCCTCATCTCCCTTTTTTTTATTTTAAAAGGATCCTGGCTCCTTTCTTAAATGAGTGAAAGCATGCCCCTAAAAGCATCTCAAGTTTGGAACCACAACATTTCTTTCTCAAGAACTCCACTGCCTCCTTCTTCGCTTATCAGGTCAAAACTTGGTCTTTAAGACTACAGGACCCCCACAGGTGCCCAGCGTAAGGGGACACAGTTGGTTCTGACAGTGCAAGGCCTTCTGGGGGAATGGTATAGATGAGGCAGCCATGTTGCCAAGGAGACCAAACAGAGTGGGGTTCGAGTCCAGCTCTCTCCAGGACTGTGTTAAGTTCGAGTCCATGCAGCTCAACTAGCTTCGCCAGGATGAACTGAGCACAGTCACTGTTTTCTGAGGAGAGAATGCACCTATCCCCAAACTTCTATGTAGGGAATAATCATGAACACCAAGTTCTGTTAACTCAAATGATGGCGTTTTCTAGGACCAAGATTTGCATGTTATTGAAAACAGGTATGGGAAGATATGATGGATAACAACTATAAATTAACAAATGTCTGGATATGAACACAGTTGGATACTCATAGAGAAGAGGATAAAATATTAATTTTCAAATAGATTGGCAATCCATATCAGAATTTTTTTCATAGAAAGCTTTGCTAATAATTCAGAGAGAAAGCGCTATTTCTACCCTTCCCTGAGTGGAAAGGATCAAGTCTAACCCAAACTAGGTGCTCAATAAGTAGATGTTGAATAAATAACCTAAGTGAACTGTTTTCAAAAGGTGATTCAATTACTCCTGGTTCAGGAGGATTACTCCATAACTTAGAGGCCAGCCGGGTATCCTAGAGGAAAGGGCTATTCAGATAGAGAAGGGAGCACCAAATAAAGGATGTTTGGAGGATCCTCCCAGGAGGGGAGATGCATGTCGAAAGTAGACTATGGACTGAACATGTTTGCCACTCAATGCCTCTTTTGCAGACCACAACACCCAAAAGGAGAGAGAGAACACAGGGGATTGCCCTGCCACAGAGACGGGGGGATGGGGGGATGGGGGTGGGAGGGATATTATCCATGGTGGTGGAAAATGGGCACTGGTGGAGGGATGGGTATCTGATCATTGTATAATTGAAACCAAAGCACAAAAAATTGTAAATCTACAACTTTAAAAAAAATAAAATAAAATAAAGGGGAAAAAAAAAAAAAAGCAAAAAAAAAAAAAAAAAAAAAAAGAGGTAATTCCCACCACTTGTTTTGTAAAAAAAAAAAAAAAAAAATTACTCCTGGTTCTATACACAAAGAAAACTCAGGGTCTAATTAAAAGGATTTTTGACACCCTCCTGCAATAATATTTTTTGAGATTTTATAAATGGACTAAATACAATATGGCAAATACTAATGAAGCATGTTCTAGGCTCCAAGTGCTCAGGTGTTGGGAAAAATATTCTCTGATAGTAACACGAGGCATTCACAAGCCAGACTGACCGTAACATGGTCATCTGTGCAGATAAGAACTGGGTTACTTGAGGACAAACACAAACCTCTTCATGGGCTTCTCATCATCGTAGGAGGTTAGTGGGTCCCACTCATGCCTTCATGGCTTCCCATGAAGAAGTGGGGTCCTCCACTGACCACCCCCCCTAGGACCCACAAAGCAGAGGTGACCCTACTGACCACCTCCCCGGGACCCACATGTTCCTGTCTACTCCCCACTTCTGGACGGTCTCCAAATGCCCATCTTAGCAACGCTTGCAGCCACACTGTGAAACAGTCACACAACACATCGGGATCCCATCGGTGACCCCCTCCTAGCTCCTGATGCCACATCCAGAATTAACTTAATCCTCCTCATGTGGACGGGGGAGGCTGTGGGAAAAACGGCCACAGAGAACCTCAACCAAGAGCCAGAGTCTAGCCGAGTGTTTCCAATGATTGATACTCACACCCTCACCTGCATCTCCCACCGCTGTGTGTGTGTGTGTGTGTGTGTGTGTGTGTGTGTGTGTGTGTGTGTGTGGAGGGGCACAGCTGCGTGCTGGGAGGCCTGAGGGTCCCACTCTGCTCTTTGGGCTCGTCCTCCATGAGCTCCTGGCTGCGGGCGGGGTGGCTGGCCAGCCCTGAGCCCTTTCTGACACTGGTGGCTGGTGGCCGGCTGGGAGAGGAACAGGAGTGGCATCTCCCGAGGCACCTCCCACCCTCTCACGCCCACGGGATGAGGCAGCCATGGTGGGGCGACTTGAGCTCATCCTACCTGCTGGCGCTTCTCGAACTCTAGCTTGATGCGGGACTTGATGCAGTTGCAGGTGTCCTGGTAGGTCTGTTGCAGCGCCAGTTCCATGAGGTGCTTGTGGTAGGCGCCCGCCAGGTTGCCGCAGATGAAGATGATCACGTTGGCCAGGATCTGGGGACAGAGACGGGCGGTCAGCAGGGGCTGTGTCCGGGGGACGGACCATCCCAGATTCCACACTCACTTCCTGTGCCATGACCCCCCCTCCCCTGCCCACAGGTCTCTCCCTTCTGGGCACCCCATACCATGGACCTCTCTGCTCTATGGCCCACACACCCTTTGCAAGACCCAGGGCCCACCTCGGCAGTGCCTGGGGGTCTCCCCGGGAAGCTCACTTCCAGGAAACAGCAGCCAGGAAGCAGAGCCGCGTACACACCGCCAGGATTGAGAGTGGGCAGAGAAGTGGGGGGTCAGCCTTGGGCCACCGGGGGACACCCTCACACCCACACTGTGGTCCCGGATCCTGGGGGGCAGCCCTCCCCAGGAGATAGGGGGACAGTGGCCTTTAGAACAGGGGCCTTGTCATGAGGTCTGTGAATGGTGCAAACAATCCCCTCGGCAAAACAGAAACATTTACAAGAACAAAATGAGAAGAGAAAGAACTTACAGGAGCCAGAGCTGAGGGCACCTGAATCCCCAAGGGGCTTGGAGCACAGCTCAGTGTCCTGAGAGCACAGCTGGGTATACCCTGGGAGCACAGCTGAATGTCCTAGGAGCACAGTTGAGTGTCCCAGGAGCACAGCTGAGTATACCCTGGGAGCACAACTGAGTGTTCCAGGAGCACAGCTGAGTATACCTTGGGAGCACAGCTCAGTGTCCTGGGAGCACAACTGAGTGTACTCTGAGAGCACAGCTGAATGTCTCCCAGAACACAGCTACTGACCCAGGAGCACAGCTGACTACCCCTGGGAGCACAGTCACTATCCCCAGGAGCATAGCTACTGTCTCTGGAAGTACAGATACTGTCCTGGGAGCACGGATGAGTGCCCCTGGGAGGGAGCTCAGTGTCTCTGGAGCTGTCCCTGCCTCACTCCTCTGGGTTCTCAAAGCTGGAGCCCGTCTTTGCTTAGTCAAATCCCACCAGCATGAAAGGATCATCCAGGTACATGCAGGAGGAAGATGTTAGCTTGAACTTTTTAATATTCAATTAATTTTTTTCCAGAACATAAAAATTCTGTGATTTTAGCTAAGACTTAGGTCAGTACATCTGCTACACTCGAGTTCAGCCCACCTGCCCACAAGACTTCACCAAAACCGTGGACCTCCACAGACACAAACATGGCCAGGCAGTCGGAGTATGCCAGGCTTCTCAAAGAATCTCTTTCTTTCTTTTGGGGGAGGGGTTTGGGGCACACCTGACAGTGCTCAGGGCTCACTCCTAGTTCTATGCTCAGGGAGCTCCTTTGGCAGTGCTCAGGGGACCAGACACACGCTGAGGATCAAACCCAGGTCAGCCACAGGTAAGGCAAGTGCTCAAGGAATCATTATCTTGGGTTCAACTAGTTCAATGGAGCGACTTCCGTTCACATGCAGGTCAGTGTGGGGAACTGTGTCTCCTTCACGGGGCACATCCACCTCAAAGTAGGACCACCTGCAGCCCCCAGGCTGGGATTCCATTCCCAGTTTCTCTACAGAGCAAACCCAAACCCGTCTTCTCCACCAGACGTGCAGGCAATACCAAGAAGCTGCTTGTGTCCCTTGTGTCACATCAGATACCATGGCTCTGCCTGGGTCCATGTACAGGACGGGCACGGGGCTGCCCACAGGAGGGAACGGGAGCTGTGGGGGTCACCCGGGTGCCTCTGGCTGCAGTGAACACCAAGCCGCAAGACGGGGATGGAAGCAGCCAGCAAGGCAGACGTGCCGGCAGGGTCTAAAGTCCAGGGATGTGGGGCGCCCAAAAACGTCCCTGTGGGAACCCACGCTTATCGGGACGGGGAGCAGGAGAGGGACCGTCTCGTCCCATGGGGCCTGTGCTAGACCGTGGGCTGGGCACTCCTGAGGCGGGCAAGAGTCATCTGCTCTCATGGAGGATGGGGCATCTCACCCTGCACCCAGCCAGTGGACCCTATGTGCTACGCATGTGTGGGTGCAAGTGTGTGTGAGTACAAGCATGTGTGCATGTGGGTGCATGTATGTGCAAGTGTATGTGTGTGAGTGCACAGTGCCTGTGTGTGTGAGTGCATGCATCATGCATGTGTGTGCGAGTGCATGTGTGGGTGCAAATGTTTGTGGAATGCATGTATGTGTGCATAAGGACGCATGCATGTGCAAGTGCATGTGTGTGAGTGCATGGTGCCCCTGTGTGTGAGTGCATGCATGTGTGTGTGCACATGTGAGTGTGTGTGTGCATGTGGGTGGGTGTGTGCATATTGTATGCTCGTATGCATGAGGGTGCATGCATATTATGTGCATGTGTGCGTGCAAGTGCATGTATATTTGGTGCATGTGTATGTGTCATGTGCTCCTGCGTTCAGAACAGAGGCAGAGCAGGGTCAGGACACACCCAGGTCTGCTGCCTCTCTCTGGGCGGGGATGCGGAGGGTCTGCACTCACCGTCCTCACACATTTGGGGAATGAGCTCATGGTTCACTCTGGCACTTCCAAGCCATTGTGCATTTGAAGAGTCCGGCCTCTGCGGGGCTGGGGACACACTGGGTGGGACTCTGGGGCTTCCTGCAGCTTGATGTTCGTTCTCAGAGTGGGGGACCACAAGAGGCTCAAGACCTAGCGCTGTCCGTCAACATGCAGATATGTGCTCCAGCCCTTAAGCCACCTCCTTGAGCCAGGATTCCTTTTGCTTTTCCCTATTTTCAGTGTTTGGGCCACACGTGGGGGCACACAGGAGCAACTCCTGGTTCCATGCCCAGGGGCCCCCAGAGCGCCGGGGATGGACATGGGTGTCCCACACGCAGAGGACGCGCCCAGCCCCAGAGCCATCTCTGCCCACAACTCCATGGATTTTTTTGCATTTTCTGTCTTGGGGCCATTTTTGGTGGTACTTGGGAGCTACTCCTGACTCTGTGCTCAGGGGATCACTCCTGACTGGCTTATGGGACCACGCAGTGCTGGGGGGTGGAACCTGGGTCTTCTGCACGTAAAGCAATGCCATGGATTCCAGTCCTGACGCGGGCAGGGAGTGCAGATATCAGGCCCACGGGGGATAATGGGCCCTGCTTGTGCTGAGCTAGCCAGGTGCCCAGGGCGCGGGGGACATCCGCATGCACTTGGTTCATTGACTTCTCCACGAACCAAGTGGGGAGGGCAGAGGAGGGGCAGAGGAGAGGCAGAGGAGAGCAGCCTTGCCGGGATCGAGGCCAGGTCATCAGCTGAAAAGGGAGCCGTCATAAATATGCAAACACGCCAATTACAAGTCCCCAGAAAATTACACGGAGTATGAAACGTGATGAAGAGTGCTCCGAATGAATATTCAGCAAGCCGGCTGCATCTCATAAGTGTCAAATCCAGCTTCCAGAAAACAGTGCTCAGGCCGTGGGGAGGAAATGAGGAGATAGAAACCCACCCGCCGAGCTCCCCGCAGGGCTGAGTCCTGGTTTGCAGCTTCCCCGTGGCCCCTCCGAGCACTCTCTCTGAGTCTCTCTGTTTCTGATCTCGTGATGAACTGCCTTCCCCGGTTGCCACCATGGGTTCACAGAGGGATGAGGTCAGGAGTGAGAAGTATCTCTGAATCCCAAAAGTGGAGCCAGAAAGTATGGGGAAGGGACAGCTGCTGCACTGTGACTTAAGGGAGGGAGAAATGGGCTGGAGAGACAGTCTGAGGGTGGAGGCGCTTGCCTTGCTCAGAACTGACAAGGTAACCCTGCTGTCGCATATGGTTCCCAGAGCAATGCCGGGAGTGATCCCTGTGCAGTGCTGGGAATCATCCCTGAGCACCGCTGGTAGTCATCCCTGAGTACTGCAGGGAGTCATCCCTGAGCACTGCCAGGAGTCATCCCTGAGCACTGCTAGGAGTCATCCTTGAGCACTGCCGGGAATCATCCCTGAGCACCGCCAGGAGTAATCCCTGAGCACTGCTAGGAGTCATTCTTGACCACCACTGGGAATCATCCCTGAGCACTGCTGGGAGTCATCCCTGATCTCTGTCTGGAGTGATCCCTGAGCACCAGGGGAGTCATCCCTGAGCACCACCGGGAGTCATCCCTGAGCACCGCCAGGCATGGTCCACAAGCCAATACTGAAACACCACACTTGGGGCCAGGGAGAGAGCGGGGTAGTCAGACACACACAGGTGATGGCCCTCACACTGAGGGAATCGGGGATGCTGACCTGTCCCCTCCTTCTGACGCAGTGGGGCAGGAAGAAGGCTGGCGTTCCCCACCCCCACCCCACCCCAGCCTCCTGCTCACCATCCCCATTGGGTAGATGCCAGCGGTGTGCACAGCTGCTGCAGGAGCCACTCGGGGCCTACGGCTTGGGACCCTCCACCTGATGGAGACCTGCTACCCTCTAACTGCGCCAGGCAGAGCCCCACACCCTCGAACCCACCTCTGCGTCCTCCCCACTTGGAAATGGACAGGAACTCTACCCAGCTCTACCCAGCAGGACTTTTGCCGCTTTTAGGGCTGCCCTGAATCTGAGGAAACAGGCGTCTCTCTCTCTTTTTCTTTTTTAACCTGAATCACCCTGAGATGCAGTTACAAGCTTTCATGTTTCATGTTTCAAGCACATTCTCCACTACCAATGTCCCCAGTATCCCTCTATCCCCCATCCCAGTCCTCACCCTGCCTCCATGGCAGTCAATTTCCCCAATGCTCTCTACTTTGGGGCATTATATTTTGCTCTAGTTTCTTCACCACCATTCAAGCCTCCCTGCCAGAGGCAGATGCTAGGTTACTTATTTTCCATCGCTCATTTTAAATGTCATGAGAGCTTTCGCGGCCGCGTGCTTCTGGAATTCTAAGATTGTCAATGGTTGGGTTCCAGAGACATCTCTGTAGGGCACTGATCCATTTGGGGGCTCAATTGGGAATCTATGGACCAGGGCTGTGGGTGTGCTAGAGAACAGGCGGATTTCCCGTGCAACCCCCACCCTGTGGATAGCTCCCGAGACAGAGTCCTGAGGCCGCCTTTAGTTAGGGGTGCGTCAGACAGGC